AGGCTGCATGTAAACACAGTCAGTGAGAAGTCATAACTGACCCTGATCTGCTGGATATATATACACACACATTATTTGGCACAAAAATAAAAGCTTTTGGTTCCTTCACTTTAGCTTGTAAGGTACATTAAGTGCAAATGGAAGACAATGATAAATGAAACAAGCTAGCTGTTTGTGCAAAGCTCTTATTATTACTCAATATCCTTTTATAATAGCTACCATCAACAATAACTCTTTCCTGAAAGCATTATTTATATATAATCTGCATATTTTCTATACATATTCACAAACTCAAGAGTAATTTGCGCCCTATACTCTCATAAATATATAAACTGTCATATTGTATTTTCTATGTGTCATGTTATAACAGTTAAGAATAGCAGTAATAGCAGTCATACAGATCATAAAGGGTGGAACTAAATCTGCCCATCAGAGGGCACTACCCGCTAACAATGTGGATATTCCTTCAAGGTCTGATATGATTATTCTTATCACCATCACAAAGCACATGTGCAGAGAGGGATCCTGTAAACGCTTTCTTATAACCATCCAGACTTTTTACAGTGTCTTGACTGGGTTTGAGGATTTCGGCCTGTGTTCAACAGATTTATGCATTATAGCTGTTTGCTAGGCCACAATGTTTTGTATCATTGACATGATATTTGTTCACACTAAAGCGGCATAATTGAAAAACATATTTTTCTGTCTGTTTTTGTCTTTCTTCCACACAAACAAAAAAATGTTTCTGAAAAGCTGCAATCCTGTGTTTCAGCGTGGATGGAAAGTTTTTAGAAAATGATGATGCTTCATCACTCATAGCTAGGGCTTGTGTGGCAGTTAAGCTTGGAAGAAATTTTGTCACAACACAACAGTTATCATGCGAGTTATATTGCTTAAGATTTGTGATTTAAAAAATGTATGGTTATTAGTTTTCATTGTTAGTGGCGGAGTCTGCCATTTCCAAGCCAGATTCAAATTGCGTTCAAAAAAATTATCTAAATTTATCTAATTGATATTTGCCTTACTTTTTCTGCTTACTCTCCAGCAGCTGTATTAGACATGTTAAGTTACGGATAATGCAAGCCAAACATTTTTCAACTGTTGCTGCTTCACTTTAAAAGCGTGCAAAACACGGGGTGGCTTTAATTGTGAAGCAGTAACAGGAAACCAGGCTAAAAGTAAGGACCTCTCTTCCTGTTTATTTTGTCATGCAACTTTGGGTTCATAAAAGCATGATTTGATTGATTTGGTTAAAATGTAACATTTATAATATATATTTAAATCTGTATTTTATGCCTGTTTAGTTGTTTTACAACAAAAACAAAATAAGACCAACTAAACCATTGTCTGTGAAGAGTCTCAATTACCCAGGCAATAGACCAAGGAGGATTAAATAAAGGGCAACTGGACTTTAAAGTACCTCCAAGTCCAAAAACTAAAAGATTTTGCAGACCAACAGTAGACCTGAAAACATGGCACACACATATAAATTGTGTTATTTTGATTTAGCCAGCTTAGTGTGGATTCAGTCTCACTGTCAAATCTATGGTTTAGAAACTTATAAAGTAAATCAATATATCTATATTGAGACTTAATAAATATGTTTAAGATACTTTTCCAAAATTGCCAACCGTTTTTTCTAATCTGGGAACAAAAAAAAGGAAACAGAAATTGTTCATTAACAAAAAAAGAAAAAGGGAAAAAAAGAAAAAGCCAGGGCTTGATAAATGGGGCATCAGATGTGTAGAGCCCTTAGTCGGAGAGGGACAGTGTGTACAGTATCACTGTGCATGAATTTCATACACACTAACGAGACAGTGGTACAGTTTCTGAAACACTCCCGGGAGTCAGTGTGAAGTATTTTTCCAGATAAATGTATGCTATGTTTTGCGTTCTGTCAGTCAGTCACTACCAACAGAGAGCTGGTCGTGGCCACTCAGCTGCAACGGAGTTTGGCCAGGAAATAGGCCACGCTGAGGAAGATCCACACCACCAGGAGGTTTGGGCTGAGGGCCAGCAGGGGCAGAGAGTACAGGAGGCTGGGGTCCAGCCGGAAGTCACGCACTGGCAGCAAGCCGCTCAGGTTCTTCTGGATCACCCCCTCCCTCGTCCCAATGCTGCCGAGTCATGGGAGGTGGGAGTAAGAGGAGGAGGAGGAGGAGGAGGAGGTGTGGAGCAGCAAAAAAGGTTGGAGCAAGTAAAAGGTGATGGAGAAGAGAGGAAGGAAGTTGAAAAGGAAGAAAGGGAGAAAAAAAGGACAAAGTAGAAGGGAGAAAATAAAAGGAAGAGGAGAAAAGAGATGGGAACAGAAAAAGTATAAAGGCAATTAGGGGAAAAAAAGACAGGAGGAAATAAAGATTGCGTGAAGGAAGAAGGGAAAGAGAGGACAGCATATGTCGCAGCAAAGCCAAAATAAACAGATGGCATGTATGTACACATGCACACAGGTGAAATGGCAAATTAACAGGTGATACCGGGGAAAGAAGTCACAGCCACGAGGATAAATGGCAGTTTGTGTAGTGACGTAATAATAAAATAATATTAAAATAATTTCATTGAGGTCACAACAAATGGAAATGAATCACGAACCAACCAGAATAAAATAATCCCGCAAAAATGAACCAATTGTACAAAACAAATCATGACATCAAACACGCGGGAAACAGAGGAAGAGGAAAAAGAGAGAGAAAAAAGAGAAAATTAAGAAAGATATTCTATGTCTTTCAGAAAAGGAAAGAAGATACAGCAATGGCACTCCATGTTTATATATTGTTAGACATGGGATGAAGAAGGAGGATGGAATGGAGGCAAAAATGGCAAGAAAAACGTCTTGGTTTCACTTGTGACAGATGGAAACCAACACAACTGCGTATAGAAGAAACACCCTTTAAATTTGAGGAATAAAGTGAAAGTTTGAAGTCAATTGCACTCTGGATTAAGAACTTTAAAGTTTACATTTGCATGCAAGCTAACGAGAGCATGCTGTTAAAAGCCTTTTTTTACAGAGAAATGAAGACAAAGCTAACATGCAATAAATACCTGCTGCAGAAAGGTTATAGACTTAATGACAAAATGTATTTTATGGGTGTACTGGACATTTACTTTATTAATTTGTAGCTACTTAGTATGGATAAAAGGGCAAAATGGGTAATGATGGGGACATTTGGAGAGAAGAGGCACAATATCTCCAAACTTATTCCAATGTGCATCACAGCTAAAAACTATTCCAAAAGGAAATAAACTCTAAAAATCAAAAAGCTATCTTCATGCTCGTCGGCTGAATAGGGAGAGGGGGAGGAAAAGAGGAGAGATGTGAGGAGAGGAAAAAAGAGGGAAGGAAAAGGTGAAGAGATGTCATATCATGCATCTGTCGGAGTGCAACTTTATTGATCACAAGTACAAGACAGGTGTGATAACATCTTTTTACAACAAAGTATTTACAACATAAAGTCACAAAAAACTCCACTTTTAACACAACTGTTTTGACACAAAAAGATACACTGGAGTATAAACTTATATTATTTTGTGTTGTTTCTGAGAGTTGCAGGGACTTTGTTTTTAATTTCTGTCCTCAGAAAACAAATCACATTTCCTGTGAGGCTGAAACACTGGCTCAATTCCAATAAAGCTCTGGGAATATAAATTCCCTTTATACCTTTACAAGTCTTCGGTCACTGTGTCTCCTGTTGTTTATGATATTGGTTATGTTGTTTCTGTTAGTAGATTACTGTGTCAGAGCATTTTAAATGTTTTCTCGAAACATTTAGTTTCCAGATGCTGGCGTTCAGCTTGTCTCTTTTTATTTTCAATTTATTATATGTTTATATTTAAACAAATAAAACCAAAACTATTTGCACCCTATATATTTACCAAAAATAATCTGTCATATTGTCTTGTTTTTATTGGTTTTAACTACATTTTAAATATGTTCTTTTTAATCTGTTTTACTGATAGATGAGTATGCTGTTTTTGCCATGCTGCAAGCCATATTCCCCATTCGGAAAACAAAGACACAAAAAATGGCTGAATACCAAGAGGCAATACAGTGCGAGAAAATGTTTTGTAAAAATACACAGCCTGAGGTGGTAACACGCACTGCAACTTTGCCTAAAAAGGTCAGCATTTCACTCAAACTCAATGTGTAGAGGTCAACTAAAACTGTCTTTATACCCACTTAACAGGCGGGGACAGACATAATTTGAAAATGAATGAAGGAGAGAAAAAATAAAGTAGGGATGAAGGAAAAGAAAAGGTGATAACGACGGTAGTGCTCTGATGATCCAAATAATGGAAAAATACTCTGCCAGCCTGTCTGCAACTTATACTCTGAAACAGCGAGGGCTTGCTTCACAGACAGGAAACACAAGACAAGACAATACTGGGCAGACAGAGGTACAGACATAACAGACTCATAGACAAGAAGATGTGCAGACAGAACAACAAGCATCCAATGCACACAACTGAAGCAGGATTCACTCGCTTGAATATCAGTTAAGTGCCTCTCTTCTAGACCCTTGTCTCAAAATCAACAATATCAACAAAATTTGAGCTCTTTTGACAAGAGTGTGTTGAAGCAAGTAACCAACTGAATTTCAAAAATATCCCCTCTGAGATGAACCAGCAACCATAGATCAGTTTGTTTTCACAGAAGAAGCAGGCAACTGTATGAGTTTTCAAATCGCACATGGGCAAAACATCCTACACATATCTGAATTCAATTTCCCATGCATTTGTTTCTTCACTAGTTTTTAAACATTTTAGTCGGTGTGATTTAAAAAAAACTAATCTTTACAGCAGCATGTAAGAATCACTGGGTATAAATAGTGGCCACCTAAAAAATCTAAATATTTCTAGATGCTTTATACCCATATAAGAACCCTGACAGGCACTAAATGAAAATAATCTGCATCTCTAAATTCCCACTCTGGTAAAACAAAGTTAGCATTTGTTTTTTGCCCATGTATGATTTTTAGTGTTTTTCCATTCAGGACGCGTCCTACCTGCGCATACAGTCGAGGGCCTGCGTGAAGACCTGTGGCGCCATGCCATGCTCGTGCTGCAGGATCAGGCACTGCTCCAAGGTGACCGACATGGCCGTGCGGTCTTTGGCACTTTTGCAGCTGGTGAAACGCACCCCGTTCAGGCGGCGACAGATCTGAGACAGAAAGGGGAAGAAAAGTTGTTGAGTCATCGATAAATAGGGATCTTAAAATAAAAAATAAAATTACCTTAAAATAATAATAATATATTCTGGGCATTTTTTGCTATTTATCCCCACAACATCTAACTTTTAACTAACTTCAACTCTATGCACACTCTGTTGATCATCTCCACAAATTTTCTCACAGTGAGCATGAGAAGGCACACCCCTATAGGTAAATGAGAAGTTTGGGACCTATTCTGGTAAACATAAACACACCTTTAACTCCAAAAAATAAATAAAACTTTTATGAAGAAAAATGTTTTCATCATTAGCAGATGTTTTTCAGCGGTTTAAAGAAAAGCACAATTCTTTAATTCAACACTAGATTAATGCCATCTAGTATTTGATGCACAACAAAGCAGAAACTTCACCTCGGCCGCCTGCCAGAGGATGTCCACGTTCTTGTTTTTCCTGGCGTGGACGTTCTGCCCCAGAAACCTCAGCAGCTCAGGGAGACAAGTCTGAGAACGAGACCTCGGGAGGCCTGAGGGGATTTTGTGGGAGATGATGGGAAATGTAGGTGAGGTGGAAGAACAATTAGCACAAAACAAAAAGAGAAAGTGAGACAGGAATTAAAAAAGATGAAAACTATTACCAAAAGTACTAATACACATGGTAGCTTTCTCTTAAAGAAAGTGTTGGAAGAAATATTCAGATCCTTTACTCAGGTAAGTACCACAATGTAAAAATACTCCATGACAAGTAAACATCTTGCATTTACAATCCTACTATATACGTATTATAAGCTAAATGTGTGAACTTTTGAATTTTTATGCAGTGATGTAGTTTAATCCAGTGGTTCCCAACCTTGAGGTTGGGCCCCCCGAAAACGGTCAAAATATAAATCTGAAGGCTCGTAAGATAATTAATAAGGAAGGAAAGAAGAAAGAAGAAAAATACACACAAGTTCCGACACACAAATCTCTGAAGCTTTTTTGTGAAATACTTGATAAACCAACCTCTGCGGGCTTCTAACACTTGAAATGAAACATTCTAAGAAGTTTAGAGGTTTAGTGGAACTGCTAACAACTCACAGACACCTGAACCAAGACAAGAGACCCGCTATACTTTAGTACTCACAGTCCTCAGGCAGGACTTCTTTGAACTGTTCGTAGTATGAATTTAGCCTGGAAAGGCTCTCCAAGTTAATGACTTCCTGCAGGGATGTGTCTCCGAACCTGAACACATGAGAAACACACCATTTCCTTGCTTTAGGTTGTTGAGCAGCCAGAATTTATCAGTAATGCACAAAAACTTGTTAAAACTTTGTAACTGTATCTCAAACATCTCAAAACTTCTCTTTTCTTCTCCTACTCACTCACTTCTCAGCCAGCGTCTGCTGCTCATTGATACCGACATTGAAGTGCACCGGCTGGACCCTTAGCAGCATGCCGCTCTGGATCTCCCGCGGCAACGCGTCAAACATGGTTCCCGGCAGCGGGATGCGGACGTTGAAGCCGTCCCGGTTCCCCGTGATGATCGGCAACATGTCGGGGGCGGAGCTGCCGGTGGCCTGCGTCACCTTAAAGTCAAGGCATTGACATTTAAAGACTTAACAGCAAACTGTTTCCTTTTTCCTGTATTATTTCACATATTATCTGTTTAAATAGACATGATATCATCTGTTATTTAACTTGACAATAAACACTAATAAAAAGATGAAAAGGTGGAGCGATGGGGTATTGCTTCTTAAAGGTGGGGTATGCGATTTTAATCCAATACACTTTTTTTGGCAAATTGTGAATATCTCCTCACGGTCCACTAGCTGAGCCAATGATTGTTCAGCATTTTGACTTGAAAATTAACTCACAGATTATCAAAATTGTTCCAAAACAAACTGTCTAAATGATTAATCGTTGACAAAAGTTTAGAAATATCAGTGAAATTAAAATCAACAGAATGGAAAATGAAACGATACTAAATAAGGAATAAAAAACACATAAGAGTGAAGTAACGCCATAATAAAAAGCATCTTTTTAATATATTTCTATTGAAGCAACATAACATTGCAGTTGCAGTGTCCTCATGGGGATTATTAAAGTTTTTTTTCTTCCAACCTTAAAGGTGACATTGCGAAGATCCATGATGCCGACACTCATGTCCTCCAACATGGCCAACTCCTCTCCTGGGTTCACACACACACACACACGGTAATAGTGATCATCTGTAACTAACAGAGGACAAACAACGCATGACTGACTGTGTGTGTGTTTGTACCGTAGGTGCTGAGCAGGGACTCAAACTGAGCCAGCAGGCCAATGGTGTAGAGCTGTCGGAGGAATCCGTTGTCACGGAGACAGTTCCTCAGTTTGATAATGAAGCCGCAGATAAGAGCGGTGAGCTGCAACACACACACACACAGCTCTTAATACACTGTAGTTGTTTTAAGTGTGTGTTTGTGTGTCTCTGCATCAATTACAGCTGATTGAGATTCAAGTCAATCTTATCCAACATGTTTAAGCATCGCTGTTAAAGGACAGTTTTTATATAGACTTCACTACTTGCAAATAATGCAACTTATTTCAAGGTTTTTTTAATTGGTATAAGTCAAATAAAGTTTCCTCTTTTTAACTTTAGAACTCATCTGGAATTGAATGAAGTGAAATTTGATTAAAAAAAGCACTTCCTTCAACAACTTTGTTGTTCTGTAGACTTAACTGCATCCATTATTAAGATGAAAGCTTGTTCATTAAACATGATGGCATGCCTCGCTCAAGCGTCAGTGTTTTTATCTGCACCGTGTTCTGGAATTCAAATCAACATATGGTTTTATATTTAGACACAGTAAAATTTGGCTTTACTTATGATTATGCAAGTGTCGTTGGTTTCTGTGCATCCAGCGTGTGATGGAAATCCTGTGTGTGACGTTATATAACTGGCTGAGGGTATAACAGTGTTGCTGTTTATTTGGTGACATTACTGAATACAGATCAACAAAAACAAACACGATTTGTGAGTGTGACATGTCATCAGACATGTTGACATCAGACAGACATGGTCATTGAAGTTATCTGAGACAAAGGCAATTCAGTTGACCAATGTTGTATAACAGGCATTTAAAGACATACGTTTTAGCAAGTAAAAAAGTGTTTGCCTGATGAAATCTATCAGAATTGTCTGTAAATTAATGTTTTCTGTTTTTCTGTTCAGCATGTTTCTTATTCAGTGTGGTATTAATGTACACTGAAGAAGACATAGCTGATACAATTGAAACTGAAAATAAAAAACATATTTAAACAAAATTTTTATTTAGACTGAAATTCATGAATATTTTCATTAATCTGCACATTATTTCCTTGATTAATGGTTAGGATCTATAAAATGTCAGAAAACAGTGAAAAATACCCACCACAATAAGATGACCCTAAGACATTGTCTTTAGATTGCTTGTTTTGTCTGACTAGGGGAAAAAAAAACCTTGGGAATATTTGCCATTTATGTTTGAAAAGTAACAATTTTGATTACATTTAATAGCAACATTTACTGTCAAATGACTAATTAACTTTTAGCTCTAATTCTTATTTGAGTGTTGAAAGTCCTTTTGTACTTGCTTGACTTTGAATGAATTGTATATAAAAATAACAAGTTGTATGAAAGAAAACAGACTACCTCTGGGCATACAACCTCTTTTTAACTGAAATGTCTCAGATTTGTGCCGACAGCATAGGAGAGTAGGAGTGAAGAAATTCCTTCCCTGTCCGTCTCACTTTCTTCTATTGTTTTTGATCTGTTGTCTTTATTTGCTCTCTCTTTTTACTCAACAGTCAGATAAATACTGCAAATCCACTGAATGCTGAACCTCCACTCCCTCCAGTTTTGTAATATTTGCTGTGAGTCATTCTAAGATGAGCACATTAGCTAAAAACCTGCATGTTTGTATGTAAATGCTGATGTAAATGTGTGTGGGGGAGTAAATGTCATGTCTGTTTGTGCTGACCGTCTGGCAGAAGACAACATCACGGCGGTACTGCAGTGACAGGTCCATGGCTATCGTCGGGGCGCTGTCCTGCATCAGCAGGAAGACCATGGACTTTTTGGCCGTGTCACTCATCATGGCAACGCACTCTGTGAGCGTGGTGAGGAGAGGGTACAGTGCCTCGCTCCACTCACCTGGGAAACACACGAACCGAGTGTAAGTATATACATTAAAGAGGTTAGACAAAACACCAACACACAATTAAAGTTCCTCCTCTGCACCACTTATCCCTACACAAAAGTGTTATTTAGCACGATTAATGCCATATTAAGTGAAATTATAAGTTAAATTTGCTCTTTCAAGACAACAGGATACAGATGGAACAACGAGACAACAGGAAAAGCAAAAAAGCGCTGAGGGAGAACACAGTCCACTGGGTAAAGCTCCAGGATAAGTTTTATTTTAATGTTATGCTATATTTCCCCACTGAACATTTTCCATGAATACAAGAAGAACACTTCTAACAAACCATTTAAAAAGAAGAAATGAAACCTTAAAAATTTATTTTATGGGAAATTACTCTGTTATAGCAGAATAAAAAACAAAAATATGTCAATAATGACATATCAATGCACAGTAAATATTATACTGGTCCCCGTCTGAGATTAGTGGTCATTTTAACAGCGGTTAAAAATATATAATAGTACATCAGTAATTCTGTCTTCTAGATATGAATCTGTGGACCTTGTACTTCACACTCCTGAAGTACAAAGCAACGTCACATTCACTCCAATTTAGGCTATTCCCCCCTAAAAAACTGAAATTAACTCTCAACATATGAGAACACATGCAGGTATTAAATCATTTTCATGAGTTCCATTATGTAAATCTGGGTTTGAATGAGTTACTTGAAATATGTGATGGAGGTGTGTTCAAGCTAAAAAGGGGGGTTAATTTGCTTTAATAAAGAAAAATAGCATTAAAATAATATACAGACATTAAACAAAAATGTGAAGATGATATTAGTTTTGAAAATACGAAGACCAATTCAATGGGCAAATTGAAGGAAGCTGACTTATTCTCTCATTATCGTATAGTTACTGTTAAACCTTTAGTTACTGTCGTAAAGAGTTGGGGATAGAGGCCGAGAAGCATGAGTGACATAGCAGCTCTTACCTGGGTACGCCTCCTCAGCACTCGGGCTTCCATCTGGAAGAGGGGATGTAGGTGCAACATGCATGATTAGCGGGCGCAGTAAGCCACAGAAGGCAGCAGAGGCACACATAGAAAACACCACAGACCAGGGTCAAAGACCTATCCAAACATGAAGGCGCATAATGGCGGCCTCTATTTCCATCTTGCAGGCAGTTAAGGGATGTTTTTCCGTCGTGTTCAAATGCAAAACACAGTTGTGAGTCTTGTTTCAACAGAAAGAAGTCAAGGAAAACATGACAAAATGTTATTTTATTGTTTTGCAAAATAAAGCTATGTAGCTGGTTTTACTAACTAACCTGCGATAACAATGTGTCATAAAGTCAAGGGCAACTGGACTTGGTTGAAGATACTGGAAGACGTTTCGTCCCACATCCAAAGGACTTCTTCAGTTCTGACTGACTGGCAGGGAAACTCTGCTATTTAACCTCAGTGGGGTCGTTTACCAGGGTCATCGATACTGCTGGCCGTTAGTGTTCCTGGTTGCTGTAACGACAGTCGTTACAGTCGTTAGGACTACCAGGTGAAGATACCACCTGGTCGTTCAGTCTTGGCCACCGGTAGTCCTAACGACTGTAACGACTGTCGTTACAGCAACCCTTGATTGCCCTTGACTTTAACCTTCGTTGGATAACTATGACCTGGATGACTGAGAATCTTCATAGACAATGTGGATAATGAAGTCCACCTTTTATATTTTTGTCATCTCAATAAAGAGCTCTAAAGCAGAGACACAAAATGCCAACCAAAATATTTGGTGGTTCTTTTTCACATCTTATTCCTAGACACACTAAACTGCCTCAGCTGTAGGCATCAAGTGAACGTTTGGATAGACATGTGAGCCTGGTCCAGTAGCTATAATAACGCTATAATAACGCTGCAACGCTGTGGACATTAGACAGAGCAAAAAGACAACAACAAAGGCTGCACACAAGACAAAATGCTTCACATTAGACATTTTTCTCATACTAGGTAAGGAGGAGTAATTTAAAAACACCTACTTTCTTTTCAGTAAAGAAAAATTTCAGTTTATGAAACCGCCCTTTGTCGTGATTGTCACACCTTTAACTTGAGTATCCCTAACTAAATAAAATGATGCAGCAAAAAAAAAAAAAGCGCAGTAAAATTGGTTACAGAAAAGGCAAAAACAAATGAGAAATTAAATAAACCTACAGGATTCTTGTTCAGGGCTGGGAGGACATGCAGAAGAGAGGGCAGGCGGAGAGGAAGAGGCTTGTGGTGATGATGATGATGAGGATGGTAGAGATGATGATGGTAATGATGGAGATTCCTGTGATATACTTCCTGGGTTGATCCAGAAAGCTCTTTTTGCATCACCTTTTCACAGCCATACACAGCAGTGTTAATTTATACTTCTAAATTTAGTCAATGTCAATTATAAAATAGTATTATTATTTAGTATTTATTAGTATTATATTTGTTTTTTTTAATGCAGTTGTATCAGTTACATGCCTATGAAACCTTATTGTAAAATTTGCACATACTGTAATATATTTAGTTAATTTGTCCCTTTTTTTTGTTAATTTACTTTTTTAATGTAATAATGATAAAAACAAATTAAAACTACTAAGGAGCAAGCAAAATGAAAAAGGGATCATTTAAAAGATTCAAAGATTCATGTTTGTTTGCATGTGTAATCTGCAAATAATGCCTACTGTAGTGACTTCACAGAAAATTGGAGTCTATAGAAAACCGCTTTCTTCAGCCAAAAACTGCACCCAAGAAAAGTATAACTATAAGTATAAATCTTATCACATTGAAGAGAGGTGAAACCAAAGGCGCCCCCCCAAGACAAGGGATTTCAACTCTGAACAAAAGATTGTTGCCTGAAATCAATGCCTAAACACTAATTACTTGTAAACTTTCAACTCTAAAAAGCAATAAAATCCAAGATATTAGACAAACAAAGAAGAGAAACAAAAAAAACATATTCTATGTGTGTGTTACCTTTCTTACTGGCACCGCCCTGCAGGTCAGTCTGGGTACTGTCCTGACTGCTGACGCTGGGTCTCCTCTCCTTCTGAAGCAGCTTGTCCACACGCTGGATGATGCACTCCAGAGACTTATCCACATTCAACCAAACTTTCTCCTGAAAAAACATAGACAGGAGGCACTGTACTTTTCAGTGCTATGTAAGAAAGGTTAAATGGCTAATAGAGGAACTACAGCAGGGAAAAGAATTAAGCTAGAGGGGAGAGACGATGCAGAAGAGATGAGATGAATCAGTGTGCAAATCAGGCAGCACGCCACAGTTTTGCTTAACAAAGATTTACGTAATGCAAGCAAATCAAGAGCTTCGTTACATAACTACATACTCTTGGTTAGGGTTAGGGTAAACTGATAGAAATTAGCACTGGGCAATACTGATTAACTAGTCAAGACTTATTCTTGACTTTTGGGAACAAAATAATCTCCAAGTTCAAAGGTCCACTTACTAGCTTTTCAGAGCTTACCTCATCTCAGTCTTCTTAAAAAAAGAAAATTCCTTAAAATATTAACCTTGTGGAATGACATGTCCACTTCAAGATTCAGAATATAGTACAAAGTACAGCTTTATATGAAACGTTCAAAATGGATGCCATGAAATTGAGCAGTCTAAATAACCCTAACTTTAATGTAATCAGAATGACATCACATAACAAAATCTGATTTTGATATAAAACAGTTTTAGTTTATTTTTGGTGATTCGTTATTTAACATACCCACTCCTCTTCATGCCAGTCTACATGCAGCGAGGATCGGCTGTTGCGACCACTCCACTTGGCTAGCAGCGTGTCCTGGTCGTTACGGAGGACTACTTGTTCTGAGTCTGCAGAGGGAGACACTTTGGAGGCGATGTACTCGGGCCGTGCTGCTTTCAGGGCCTGTATGGCAGAAGCCAGCAGCTTACAGTCGCATACCGTCACCAACTGACGAGTCTGAGGGGGACAGGAGAAGGTATCCTATGTCAACATAAAATCATTTCCAAACATAAGTACTTTAAAGTTACAGATTGTGTTAAAGTAAAATACCTTATCAGCCAGAATAGCGAGCGTCCTTTCCAGTCCGCTGGCAGATCGATCTTTGGCGGCTCGGGAAAGCCTCTCAGCATAGTAGCTGACCTGAGTCTTCAGCGTGTTGATATGGGCGATGATCTCTTTGGCTCGGACAATGTCCTGGGGTATGTAGACGATAGACTGCGAGCTTGACAGGGCGCTGCTACAGAAAAGCAAAGACACATGGTTTTAGCAGCATGTCTGTATCCAACTGTTTGCTGATGAAAGTCTTACATCCTCAAAATGTAAAAATTGATTCTGGGAGACTCATTCTCAAGGGCTAATCTCAAATGAGCACTTGGCTCACAAGTACTATTTTGTTACAGATATTACATTTATTAATTTAGCTGACACTTTTATCCAAAGCGACTTACAATTGCTATACATGTCAGAGGCATGTACTAGGGGTTAAGTGTAATTCTCTGGGACACATAGTAGATGGGTCACAGTGGGGAATTGAACCCGGGTCTCTCACACCAAAGTCACAGTGAACCGCCACCACCAATATTAACATTAATAGACATAGACATAGCATTTGCATGCGCATGCCTGTTCTTAACAATGGTCCTAATTAGTGGTTTAAGAAAACACTACAGGTAAACACAAAGACAACATGAAACTGAGGTGGTGACACCGTTCATTTTACAAATTCAGATAGATCTTTATGAGAACTTAAGTAATTCTTATCAATGCTTTACATGTTTTCCAAGTGTAGATAAGTGTTTTTAATAGACAAATTTGCTGCATTTCAACACACTAATAACAAATGCATCCATCATGTGTCTTTATTTTTACATAAACTACATGATGTCTTATCTTTCAAGTGATTACAAATCACATTCATTTATCCTCAACATACTCACCACTTATTCACAATGCTTGAAAATCCTTCAATTTTGTTGTTGACAACTCAAAGAATGGTGGTATTTTTTTGTGGTAGTACAAGAAAGTGAGAGGCAAACAGTGATCGAACAAATGAAAACAAGCAAAACCGCGCAAAAACTCACCATTCCTCCTCATATACGCTGATGAAAAAAGTAACAAAAGCAAAATTAAGAGGAAGCCAAAGAACTGAAATGCAGAATTAATGCAATAGTTGAAGAAACAATGCATTCACATTTTCTTTAATGTAAAAATGACTACAGGGCAGCCAAATCAAAATACATCTTTCATACAAAATCATTTCATATGGATCACATCTGTTGAATAACATAAAATATGAAACAATTCAAAAAGAGGGAAAAATGCAATGCAATTTTGTTTTTCTTCTAATTCCCTTTTGGATTTTTGGTCAGTTATTTTCCAACTTACTGTTTCTTTGCCTCTTCAAACTTCTGGATGAGTTTCCTCAAACCGTTGTTTTTGAAACCCTGGCAGTGAGCCGCCGGAGCACCAATTGTTATCACATCGTACGTGTGTTCTGGAGACAAAATTGGTGTTTTGAATGATGAAAACCATTTGTGTGAGTAAAAACCATAGGCAAAAGCAGTGTGTGTTTTGTTTGTGTCGGTTTTCCCATGTGTGTTCCAATGTCTCACCGAAGCCCAGTTCATCCTGCACCCTCATCCTCTGAACGTGAAGGTTGGTTGGCATGAACTCAAGCTTCCTCTCTGCCTTCAGGTTACTGGCTTTGAACGACGGACCTGATATAGAGTGGTAGAAAGCAAGAGAAGAAGAACAGGGGGGTAAAACCAGAACAGGAAACATTGTTGTAGCTTGTTTTAAAACATATGATGGTTTTTACAGCTTTATCAGACCGCAAGAGGTGTCTGAGAAACCTCTAACCTCTGTAGTTGTTGAGGTCTGACAGGGTTTCCTGGTATGTGAGTATTATGGTCTGGTACTGAGAGACAATTTGTCGCCGCAGATTCTCCCAGCAAGGGGATAACTCTCCCAGCTCCTCCAGCTCACACACCCTGCAGACAGACAAAGAGTTGTTCAGGAAAAGTGGGAAAACAAATGTGTACATAAAGCTCATATGTTGTAAGTGCAACATTACTAAACTTACAGTGAGGAAAATAAGTATTTGAACACCCTGCTATTTTGCAAGTTCTCCCACTTAGAAATCATGGAGGGGTCTGAAATTGTCATCGTAGGTGCATGTCCACTGTGAGAGACATAATCTAAAAAAAAAAAAAATCCAGAAATCACAATGTATGATTTTTTAACTATTTATTTGTATGATACAGCTGCAAATAAGTATTTGAACACCTGAGAAAATCAATGTTAATATTTGGTACAGTAGCCTTTGTTTGCAATTACAGAGGTCAAACGTTTCCTGTAGTTTTCACCAGGTTTGCACACACTGCAGGAGGGATTTTGGCCCACTCCTCCACACAGATCTTCTCTAGATCAGTCAGGTTTCTGGGCTGTCGCTGAGAAACACGGAGTTTGAGCTCCCTCCAAAGATTCTCTATTGGGTTTAGGTCTGGAGACTGACTAGGCCACGCCAGAACCTTGATATGCTTCTTACAGAGCCACTCCTTGGTTATCCTGGCTGTGTGCTTCGGGTCATTGTCATGTTGGAAGACCCGGCCTCACCCATCTTCAATGCTCTAACTGAGGGAAGGAGGTTGTTCCCCAAAATCTCGCAATACATGGCCCCGGTCATCCTCTCCTTAATACAGTGCAGTCGCCCTGTCCCATGTGCAGAAAAACACCCCCAAAGCATGATGCTACCACCCCCATGCTTCACAGTAGGGATGGTGTTCTTGGGATGGTACTCATCATTCTTCTTCCTCCAAACACGGTTAGTGGAATTATGACCAAAAGGTTCTATTTTGGTCTCATCTGACCACATGACTTTCTCCCATGACTCCTCTGGATCATCCAAATGGTCATTGGCAAACTGAAGACGGGCCTTGACATGTGCTGGTTTAAGCAGGGGAACCTTTCAAACCATGACGTCTTGTATTCCCGTGTATTATGTATTGTACTGTATTACCAACAGTAACCTTGGAAACGGTGGTCCCAGCTCTTTTCAGGTCATTGACCAGCTCCTCCCGTGTGGTTCTGGGCTGATTTCTCACCTTTCTTAGGATCATTGAGACCCCACGAGGTGAGATCTTGCATGGAGCCCCAGTCCGAGGGAGATTGACAGTCATGTTTAGCTTCTTCCATTTTCTAATGATTGCTCCAACAGTGGACCTTTTTTCACCAAGCTGCTTGGCAATTTCCCCGTAGCCCTTTCCAGCCTTGAGGAAGTGTACAATTTTGTCTCTAGTGTCTTTGGACAGCTCTTTGGTCTTGGCCATGTTAGTAGTTGGATTCTTACTGATTGTATGGGGTGGACAGGTGTCTTTATGCAGCTAACGACCTCAAACAGGTGCATCTAATTTAGGATAATAAATGGAGTGGAGGTGAACATTTTGAAGGCAGACTAACAGGTCTTTGAGAGTCAGAATTCTAGCTGATAGACAGGTGTTCAAATACTTATTTGCAGCTGTATCATACAAATAAATAGTTAAAAATCATACATTGTGATTTCTGGATTTTTTTTTTTAGATTATGTCTCTCACAGTGGACATGCACCTACGATGACAATTTCAGACCCCTCCATGATTTCTAAGTGGGAGAACTTGCAAAATAGCAGGGTGTTCAAATACTTATTTTCCTCACTGTATCTTATGTGAGTAAACTCAATATATGTGCGTTTTGGGCTGAATGTCATCACTTTCAGTTTTAAGAAAATATGATTATGAGTAATTGTAAAAGTTTATTTTTCACAATTTTCTGGCTTTTTATGGATCAAACGATTAATCAACTAATCAAGAAAATAACTGTTGCAGCTCCAGTTTCAGTACACTCTCTGAAACTACAGCACTAGCTGGTGAGATGGTTGAAGAGACCGTTTTGTTTGCTTTGTATCTTCAAAGAAAAAAAGCAGATAGCGATACTGAAATCTAAATGGCCAGATGATTACACATTTGCTATTCTGATCCAATCATACCAGCCTATGATGCTGATAATCAGCAGATTACTGCTAATTTGTTTGTTTTCAGATAACGTCTGGTATAAATCACTTTTGACAACATCCATGCTAAAATTGCAGTGTTCGTACCTGGCTGCATCCTCTTCCAGCAGCAGTCTGACAAACTGTCTGGGAATGTTTAATGAGAGGACGCTCTCTGCCATTTGCTCCAGCACCCGTAAGTGGTTCCCATCCGTCGTGGGGAAGCGGTACATCCGGGACATCGTGCCTCCAAACACTGAAGACAGAAATTTAATTAGGTTGGATTAGATTGTTATGGATTAGATCAGACTGTTTATCTGATCTCTGTTGTTTAACTGATTTAGCAGTTGATTGTGTAATGCTAGTTTTTTTATTTAGTTTTAGGAGTATGGCATGTAGTAAAGGAACTGAACAGATACATTAGTTATAGCTATTTATCCATACAGTAATAACATTGTGACACATAAAGAACATCTAATAAAGAAAGAAACATTCATAAAAACACATTATTACATTAGAAAAAGACAAGGAAAACAAACCAACACCAAAAAGGTCAAAATGGAAACTATACAAAATCCAAAAGAAGAACACTTCTTTACCACTGTGAAGCAGTTTTAATTAAGTTAAGAGCTTCCCAGATGTGTTTATCTGTTGCTTTCAGTCTCAAAGGGGAGAAGCCTTTTGGATACTTTTACTCTACATACCTCGTTTCAGCTCACACTTTAATCGGATGCTACAGTTTCAGCGGTTGTACCTGAGCGAAGCAGGGTGTCTTTGCATAGCGAGGCATATTTGATTCTGACTCCCATCGACTCCGTGAGGCTCTCATCAACAGGCAGCATCGTCTACAGGATAGACACAGAGACATTGATGTTAAACAGCAAGTTAACAACCAACCCCACCAGCAAGTCCACTCTCAAACCTCCTTTCACCTACACCACATGCTCCTACACAAGCCCAATCCCCTGAAATAAAGCGTTTTACTACCATGTGAGGCTGAGTGACATGTTTATTATGACATCAAGCAGGTTAAGTGAGTCTTGTTTAATTACAAAGGACTACACGTCTACACAGACAAAAAGGAAGTCTAAGAGACACACATGAAACACATTTAATTTCACACTTTCATTTCCATTAGTTAAGAGATCTGACTCGCTGTTAGAATTAATCTAAAAATAATAAACTAATGATCTGGTCCTATTAAAGCAATGCATATAGCAGTGGTCATAAATAATTCCGAATATTTTATTACAGATAAAATCCCCAATTAGTCTTTTTTTAGTCATTATAGTTGAATTGAAAGGTTGAAGAAAGTTGAAGTGAATGTTTACTCTTGAAATCAGATGATTATATATAATTTCATAATAAACCCGCATGTATAATTACAAAATAATTTAGTTTTTAAGTAACACTACAACTACCCACAGTACTTGATTGATAATAAAAGTATTAACAATATAGAAAATGTTAATACACCAGGTCCACTGCACTTAGGAAATTTTGAAAGCTTTATAGTAAAAAATCTTCAACTTTTTAAACAGAAACGGAGGAGCGTGTCCTTCCCAGCGCCTCTTACCCGGCCATTGATGCTGTCTGGCAGGCGGCCGGCCGACATCCTCTGATCTGCTCTCTCCTCCATCTGCCAGGCAGCTATAGTGACTTCCCCAACCCGCTCATTCTCTGCTGATCTGTCCATTGAAACACATTTACTGGATTTTTTATTTCACAGGAATGCACTTATGTTATAACTAACAAATATTGTATTATCCATTAATCTGTAAATTATTTGTTAGATTCATCATTTAGTCAATAAAATGCTATGATGACACGTTTGGCCTTGTTAAAGGTTTACGTTTTATAATTGTCAGATATATTGAATACTAAAGATTCACCTACACATGTCCTAATCACTAAAACCAAAAATCTTACATAGCATCTTCTTGCTCTTGTTTCTCTTCACAGGAAATATATTTAAATAAAGGGAAGGAAGGCAGAACAGATTTTCATACTGAACATTTCCTCTGTACATAAATATATCTCCTGTATAAGAAGGAAAACACTGAGTGTGTTTATAACTGACAAAGAACAGATGAAAGTACCAACCAAAACACTACTGCCCTAGTAAATGGTACACACTGTTGGTACACATTAAGAAGCTAAAATAACTTTAACTTTCTTAAAAATTAATTTAGTTTTTTTAAATACAACAGGAAGAAGCTAGAAGAGAGTGTGTGCTACCTCAGTTCGAGCTGTAATCTGTGGCTCTTCTCTTGCAACAACTCTTTTACAGGAAATAGTGCTGATCCCAACATATACATCTGGAGAAAGACAATATGAATGGCTGTTTACACCGATGTTCGTACTCAGCTAGCTCTTCTTAACAGGTATGAACTCCGGAGAACAGAAGCACAGACATGTCAGTGTTTGTCAGATCGACGAAGAAGACGCTCTGCAGTCTAAAAGAGCACTAAAAGCTTAAAGGAAAATGGAACAATGCATCATTTCCGTTGTAAAACATTCAACCTAAAAGCCTTCTGAATAAAGAGCTGCCCTGAATGTCAGTGCTCTGCATAGTACCGTGCCCTGCGAGCGGTCCTTCACGTCGTAGACGGCCAGTTTCACCTGCGTCTGCTGGTTGATGTTGGATTCCTGGAAGAAGGCGATGCTGCTGAGGAAGATGGGGTTACTGGTGCCCTGTGGATGGAGGCAGTAACACAGTGAATCAGCATTACTTTATGATCAGATTCCTTTTAACAAAGTTTTTGTTTTTATATTCAGAATTATGTTTTTGATGCGTTTTCCACCCCTTGCTCCAGGTTCAAGAATTTGCTGCCGTTCTTTGTCTTATGTGACAGTTGGTTGATCTGTTGGACTAAACAAGCAGTCTGAAAACATCTTACACTAGAAAATTGTAACAGACATTTTGAACAATTTTTTCACATTTTATTACCATACAATCTGTTAATTGAGAAAATAATTGCCAGTTGCAGCCCTCTTTAGAATTTTATGGTAAAACCCCCCTAAAACTGGCATATCTCTTTATTATATCAGTTCAGCTATGGTTATTTTGATATAAATGTGATCGCAATGTTTTTGTTATTATGGTGGTTATTATGATGCTTTTAGGAAGGAAACTCACTATAATGCACAACAACAATCCTTTGTTCCTGTATTAGTTGTCATTTCTTGTCCCTGTCAACAGGGTATATACAGGAATCCTGAAGTAAGACCTTTTCAAGACTTTTTCAACCCTTTTTTTAGACTGCCGCGCCACTTTGAGCTGTAACCAATTAAATCAGCTACACACCTTTAAAAGGGACATTTTTGAGTTTTTAAAAGGAATTTAGATATATTCCTATCATATTTATTGCCTATATGTCATCAGGTTGTAACACCACCCATTCACCAACTTTCTCCTGTTTGTGATATTCATGGACAGGATATCGAGGCGTAGTCATGGTGAGGAGGGGTTGCAGTTCGGTGGGCTTGGGATCTCATCACTGCTTTTTGCAGATGACGTGGTCCTGATGGCATCATCGGTCCACGACCTCCAGCTCTCACTCGGTTTGCAGTGGAGTGTGAAGCGGTTGGGATGAGAATTAGCACCTCTAAATCTGTGGCCATGGTTCTCAGCAGGAAACCGGTGGAGTGCCAACTCCAGGTAGGGAATGAGTCCTTACCCCAAGTGAAGGAGTTCAAGTACCTCGGGGTCTTGTTCACGAGTGAGGGGAGATTGGAGCAGAAGATTGGCCAGAGAATCGGAACAGCGGGGGCAGTATTGCACTTTTTTTCGCTTTACTGCACCATTGTGACAAAATGCCTTATGGCTCAGCTCTCGATCTACCAGTCAATTTTCATTCCTACCCTCACCTATGGTCATGAAGGCTGGGTCATGACCAAAAGAACGAGATTGCGGGTACAAGCGGCCGAAATGGGTTTCCCCAGGCGGGTGGCTGGTGTCTCCCTTACAGATAGGGTGAGAAGCTCAGTCATCCGCGAGGCGCTCAGAGTAGAGCCGCTGCTCCTTTGCGTCGAAAGGAGCCAGTTGAGGTGGTTTGGGCATCTGGTAAGGATGCCTCCTGGACGCCTCCCTAAGGAGGTGTTCTGGGCACGTCCAGCTGGGAGGAGGCCTCGGGGAAGACCTAGGACTAGGTGGAGAGATTATATCTTCACACTGGCCTGGGAACACTTCAGAGCTGGTTAATGTGGCCCGGGAAAGAGAAGTTTGGGGTCCCCTGCTGGAGCTGCTGCCCCCGCGACCCGACCCCGGATAAGCGGATGAAGATGGCTGGATGGATGAACTTTCTCAGTTGCCTATAACAGCCTCTATGGGCCAACTGTTTTCTATGTGAAGGATTTTCTGCGAAAAGCAACTGTCTTACATTAGCTATGATGTTTATGTACGCAACATTACAGCAAATCATGTCAAACACAGTGTAATTTTGTGTTTTAGTTGGTTTAAACTAGATAATGTGAGCTTGCCTGCAATAATATGTGTGATAACTTTCATCGACCACTTGATCAATACAACAAAATTCAAACAGGCCAGGGGTGAACAAAGATGAAGAGAATAAACTAAGTGATGAATAACGTAAGTAGTGTAGGCGGTGCACAGGCACAACCTGGAGGATGAACTAAATGACTAATGTCTAAATGACTGTATTAGTATAATATTATAACAGTAAATTGAAAGTATATTGTTAATTTAATAGTAAACTGTAAGTTTGATATTAATATATTCATTATGTTACTGTATTCAAAATAATTTCATATAATAGTATATAACTTACCACTAGTATAATATTAATTCAAATTACAGCCGTTTCAGTTTGGGGTTGTTTTTTATTCATTAACTTTGTGCAAGAAAAATGCTCTAAGCTACATGATAGTCTCCAACCTTGATTTTGGGCAGGCTACTAACTCGTCAATAATCATTCCCATTTATGCAGAACATTGAGTTCAACATTTATAAAGTTTGTTGCAGCACATCAAACTTTTTTTTAAATCCCGCTCCATCCAGGCTGTCATTGATCTGTTCACAAAAAGTGACACTGACGAGAGCATCGGCTTTATGAAAAGTTGAATGTGTTTCAATAAAAGGCACCAATTTTGCTAAATAGCCAGCAAACGTTAGCCAAACCCACACGGTCCTTGAATTTTCCCGGTTGTCGCCTGTCTTATCGATACAGCTGCTGGTGGCGCATCTCGCTCTTGTTTTTCAGGAACGGGGCTGTTCAAGTGGCCACAGAACGACCGGCCAACCGGGTTAATCTCGTTACTCCTGATCACCACTCCGACAACTTTTTGGACAATTAGCATTGAGGATCCGACGGGGTGGGATATTACGGTCGGTTGGACTCGTAAATCATTATCCAGTTTGCACGGATCTATTTTTTGGAGCGTTTAGTGAAATAGGTGCACGGTAGATCCCTGCGCCTATTGTTACAGAAACAAATCACACAGTCGCTACTCACTGCCTGTCTAGTATTTTTGGCTATGCATTATAAATAAATACGTTCATCTACACTTTTAACAAACAAACTTTTGGACAAAGGATTTTCACATTGAAAAAAATATCTTGAAAATGTAATACCTTGTTAAATGGCGATTAAGACTTTTTAATAGTTTTTAATGGCCTTAACTTTCGCAAAATTGATTAATTACCTTTTAAGACTTTTTAAGACTCTGCGGAAACCCTGGAATATGTATCAAAACGTATTAATCAAATTCATCTCTTCCAGTAAGATGTTAAATTTTTTTGATGACTCATTCTACACAAATGTTTCCAATTAAATGTGATCTGAAGTGACCGGCAGACCTCAAACTGCACTAAAACTCTTTTATGGTTATGGATCATGGAAGCGCAGAAGAGCGATTTCAGGTGGTCGGAGGTGTGTGTTTGGACAAAAACATGACCAAAAGTGCGTGGTTGCAGTTCAATTTATTCATTTCTCCCTCGTCCTCCGCCTCCTGATCTAACAGCATAGATGAGGGAGGTGTAGGTGGAGACAAACAGTCCTCCACTGGTCCACCAGAGACTCTCAGTTTTGAGCAATCAAATCCATGTTTGAAATTAGACAGATTTTACCCCGAATGATATCACATTATGGCGACCATTTTTCTGTGACTTTAAAATTGAGGACTGGTTGGTAGTCTGAAGAGTACAAATAGTCTGACCTCTATGACTTCAGTCTGTGCGTGTTTGGTCCAAAAGGCCTGTGGTGGTGTCGTGCAGCTCACAGCTACAAAGCTGTTGGGTTTTCGATCCAAAGCAGGAGTCAGCAGGTCTGTGCAGGCTGGATGAGAAACACACAAGTCAACAATGAAAGAGCCATTAGGCACTGAAACATGCTATGTGAAACCCCTCTAATGTTTTTGGAGAACTCATGGTTTAAGATGGTCTTCCTCCCTCTTTTATCTAAATACATTGTAATGTTAACACAGCTTATTTCACTTCAATATGTGTATTATGTTTCACTTTTACAACAACAAACAGTCTAACTTGCTCTGGATGGATTGTTTTGCATGCCAGGGGTGTCTTACCCACGCTGAACTCAAGCACAGGCTCATCTGGATCCTGACTGTTTCCTGAAAAACAACCAAGAAATAAACATAAACAAGAGTTATCATGAAAAAAACACAGTAGCACACTGATGGCATACTGAGGAGATATTTGTTCATGTCGAACCTAAGGAAGTCATCCCAGCTACCAAGGAGTCTTCCCCTTTGACCCTGTGATACCAGCCCAACAGGAATTATTTTTATTTCCAAACTGAATGTCATGGAATGTAATGTTCTGCATTCAAGCATAACTTGCCTAAAATGCATTAAATTACATTAAAACTGAGAAAAGCCAGCATGATTATTTAGAGTAGAGACATGAGGTAAAACAACCGACAGCCCAGAGAACAGCATGTTTTTCCCCGACTAGGTGAAGCGACAGTGAACACAACAGTGCAGATATTATTCAGTACCACGATTGTTTCAACAGGCTATGTCATTAACAAGCCTCCTCCAGTTTGTTTGCGGTAAGGGACCAGAGGTGTAGGTATGTGTGTGTGTGTTTGGGGAAAAGAGAAGTGAAAGGTAAAGCGAGGTGAGCATGTTCAAGAAGTGAGTAACACTAAAATAAGGTGGAGAATTAAGTACAATTAAAATGGTGGAATAAGATATAACCTACTACAAAACAGAAATATACCCCACTAAGAAAATATTTTAAGACTTTTTAATTCCTTATCTGACCCTGCACATACCCTGTCTTCCTATTAGGTGCAACAAGGATTCATATTGATGATCACAACCACCTTTTCCTGTGCACTTTGATTTGAATGATATGATTAGATGGAGAATAAACACAGCAGAAACTTAAACTTACTGTTATCTTTAATGTCTGTCAGTGTGACAGACGATGAGCAGCCCTCAGGCCTCGTTATGATCTGTTTCAGGGCAACTGTGGTTGAAGAGGCTGTTGGCTCCCACACAAGTTTCACACGCTGCCAGCAGAGTGTGTGAGAGTGTGTGAGTGTGTAATTTTAGTGCTGCAAGTGGCAGGCTGTATTTATAATGGGCATCTCTTGTATGTGTTAAAATTATTGAATTAAACTGACTTTATGCTTCTTTTTTGTATTTCATAGCATCTTAGATTTAGCTTGATCACAGTTTCATGGTTAGGTTTTTTGTCTTAGATTAAGTCGTCAATAAGGAAGCGGCACCAGACTTTAGATCAATGCTTTTTGTCATTTTGTCAGGTTCTGTTAAACCTTTCAGTAATCCTCTATAAAGAACAAACTTCCCCTCACCTGCGAGAGCCAAGCCGATCATCTCGTTGGACAGCTCGAATGTGTTGGCCCGGTACACCGACCACGGCCTCTGTATCCGGGAGACGCGCTCTCTGACCCCCGCCATGCCTGTCTGGGAAGAGCGGGCGACGGCAGGAGGCCTGAACACACACCCTCACACACGCAGTCACGCACTCCCATGTGATGTGCCCCTCTTTCTGCGTAGAGCCACTGCTGCTCCAGAAAGCTGTTCACCTCTCTGAATAGAAAGAGACATGACAGCAGAGAGAAGAGGAGACGGGAGGGAGGTTAGATTAAAGAATTAGGTAAAACATTCTTCATCTTAGCTTGTAAATTATGTAATGAATCAAGCAGGTTTTCAGATGGTTTCATTAGGCCAGCATTTGCCTAATCTTGCTAAATGTTAAATTTATCAAAATCAACTGGAGCTCCAAGGACTCCTCCTCGGTGTTCATACAAGAACATGATCAATACATCGGCAGGGAAACATTAGGGCCCGAACAGCGACCACTGTGAGGTCCCTATTGTGTTTGTTAGAATCATTATTATTTCTGTTCTTCCCCATTCGACACATTTTTGGGAACATGCATGAAAAGTTGTATAAATTGGCAAACACGTCTGTCCTGGTGAAAATAGTGATCCGATACAGGTCCTGTGCATGGGTGCACAAAAATGGCTCAATAGCGCCCCCTAACATTTTTCAAAACCAAAGCCCCCTCCTTTCTCTTTGGCCTACATTCACCAAACTTGGTAGGTATATGTATTGTGTCCAGACTTAAAAATATGCCTCTTGGAGCCATACCCTAAACCCAACAGGAAGACAGCCATATTGGATTGAATGTGCGAGAATTTTCCATTTATACGATCCGTATTTTAACAAACTCCTCCTAGGGATATGATCAGATCGACTTCAAATGAGGGCTGTGCCATCTCAACACCCTTGCGGTGTTAAATTGGGAAGCATTTTTTGATTGATTAAATAGCGTGTCCATGGCGTAGCATTAAATTTTGATGATTCGCCGTGAAAAAGGAAATATTGTATAAATGGGCAAGACATGGTCAGATCTGCCCCATCTTCATGTTTGATAAGAGTTCTGCCCTGAAGACATCTTCATGCCAATATCCAGTCGTTGTGAAACTGCCACCTACTGGCAACAGGAAGTGACATGTTTTATTTGTTGCGGTATTCATCCTAGCAGGATGATCCGATTTCACTCAAAACTGTCTAAAAATAGACTTAAGACCTAGATGATGTAAGGTTGTCAAGCTTGTGATTTAATGTCAAACAACGTTGCCATGGCAATGCATTATTCGCCATGAAACAGGAAGCTGTATTTTGAGAGGCTTAGGATGCTTGAAATCTCACAAAACACTGCACACACATCAGACTGGGTGCGTTCTGTTGTGTGATACTGTTCAAGAGCATGTGTTTGGAAAAACGGCTCAAAAGCGCCCCCTGCAAGATTTCAAATGAGCAGCCCCAGCTGTGTGTTTCACCTAGAACTAACAAATTTTGTAGGCACGTGTAGAATGCCGGGACTTAAAGAAAAGTCTCTGGGAGCCATATGCTAAACCCAACAGGAAGTCCGCCATATTGCATTGAATCTCTAATTGTCCTCCATTTACAGGTCCCATACTTTAACGAACTCCTCCTACAGCTTTAACACAATTGACTTCAAATGTGGGCAGCATGACCTTAAGGGCCTTGCGATGTTAAACTGCGAAGCTTTTTTTGATTGATCAAGCGGTGTACCTATGACGTGGAGTTCAATTTTGATGATGGAACCCCTATGAGACTTACATGTCAATATCCAGTCATAGTAATAGCGGCAACTACTGGCATCTGGAAAGTACATGTATTAAACTATATCTGTTTTGGTCCCTTCATTATTTTACCCCACTTAGCACCTTAGGGACAACAATGTCCACAGTGAGGAATAGATTCTTCACATAGCAGGTGGACCACATCCATCTCAAAGTTCCACAGGAAAGCGATAATGCTTTAATGATGTTAAATTTTAAAACTTTTCAGTTCTTTTTAAATGCTGAAACGGGAAGCTGTTTTTGAGAGCTGTACCTTTAAACCCACTGATAGTCAGCCACTTTGACTTGAAGTAGTAACTGACACATCGACCACACATTGTCAGATATTTTCCACACATCACCTGTGTGATATGTACAGTGTTAACTTCAAGTCCTGCCCTGTACGTGGATGCAGCACACCCCGAGTTGAAGGAAGTCGGACCACGCGACAGCTGCACGGGTGCGGCACACCCCGACAAGCGGGAGGTGTCAGGCCCGCTCATTGCTGCTTGCAGCTTTAATTGTCATTATTATTTCATAGGCCTTACTAGTTTTTAATAGTTTAAATGTTCAGCTGTAAAATGTCTTTACACAACTTTATCAATTTGTTTATCTAAAAATAAGATCATTTTAAAACTTTATTGTCTTATTTTTTTCCACCTCAGGTATCAATAATAGCATCACAAATCTAATCCAGTATCAGTCTGGCAGTAGTTAAAATCTTTCCTCTTTGCTCAGTTTGATTTGATATTTGGACATTTAAATGACAAAACAAAAGAAAACAAGTGATTTGGACAAGTACATTTAGATAGCCTGAGAGGCATCTAGCATCTAATTAAAGGGGACAAAACATTTTAATATGACAGTATTGTACTTTTTTAATTCATGCTCAGGGAGGAGACATTTACTGCATATATTAGGTCAGATACAGGACAAACAAACCAAAAAAACTATTTTTGACACTATTGCACCTCCAACCTAATAATTACACATATACAACATATCGGTATATTCCCATCAATACATAAACGTGTACATTTATATACACACCTATACAAGCTATGAAATATACCCATAAGCATACCTTCACATATGGACACCCATATACAAATACACATAGTACCTCCATACAAGTATATATGCCTAAATTGCATTACCCCTGCATGTGTCCACACAAGTCCCCATGTGACTGCACATAAATTGCACGTATATCTTTACCCTTACATAAGGCTGTACGGCGTGTATACACATATTCAACTTTAGTGTTCCTGTATATGTTGCAACAAAATTGTCTTTTTTAAGGCACTGGTCGCTACTTTGGTAGATTTAAGTAAGCTAGTAGCCTGCTTCCAGATAGAACCCAATAATCGTGTTCACGTTTACATATATTTAGTCAGGACAGGGTGATGTTATTTGTAAAAACGTTACATGAGAGGGTGTATATACGGAATTAGACATCTAAACTTAATAATGTTTTAAAAGCTTGTAGCCATGATTTCTGGTTTATATTATTGTCTTCCAGGTAGGGCCGGGCGATATAGCCAAAAATTTTATCACGATAAAAACATTTCATACCATTCAATATCGATAATTATCACGATAAATGTCAAATCATCATTTCTTTTAAGTTTAAAGGCTGATTTTTGCTTCTAGGTGAAAAGTTGAAGAAATAAGATGGTTAATTGCATGGTTAAACTTTTCTTTATGGTCAGAACGTGACAAACACTTGATGCCAAATAGAGGATTTCTTTACAAATCTAAGGTAGAACATTCATTGTGGGGGGGTTACACAGGGTAGCTCCGCTTTAATCTTGGGAGGCTGCAGAGCTGCAGTCTCTTTTCATTGAACTTACTCTGTAAATTTCCAGGTAAACTAAGGCGCTCTCTCTCCCTCTCGCCTGTCATTCAGTCTTGAGTTTTACGTGCATTACTGCTGCTGACAACTGCATGCACATCGCAGTTCCTCGCGGGTCTATTTCAAGTAGCCGGCTATTTAAAAACGATAAAATATTTTTTATGTGGTTCATCAATGGTGATAAATTATCCGAAAGTCCCGCGAGGTGCGGACAACTCGACACAACACCAGTGAAGCTGGAGCTCCATCTCTTCAGCAAGTGTTCCTCCACTGTCACTGCACACATACACGCTACGCTTACACATGCGCACTGACGACCCAGGGTTAGGGTTACAATTTTGGATTTATTCACGCACTTCAAAAACATTTATTGAAAGTTTTATTCTTTTTACATGTTTATTTACAGCATTAAACGTCAAAATGTATATTGTAATAGGCTGTATATTAACTTATTGGAGAAAACTGGTGGTTCTATGTAAAATCAGACGTTGAGCACCACCATATAGCCAAAATGGCATGATCCTTGTTTTGCTGCAAAGCTTCGAGAGATTGACAGTCAAATCAGGTTCCGCCCATCGAAGCATCGAATCTTTGACTATTCGGGGTCAGCCCTAATGATTAGTAAATCTTTTTTTCTTTTTCCTCAACAAAATAAATAATTTAGTAGAAAAATTAAGTGCAAATTTGTTAGTGATGAATGTTGAACATCTGCATACATGCAATATTACAAGTTCTCACTATTACAGTTCTGCTTGGAAATCTCTCTGCTTAAAAACGAAACAAAACTTAGTGTGGCTTCAGCCGCATACATGAATTCCAATGAATTCACTCACATGCTAATGTGCCATGTGAACGCAAAAGTGAAAACATGAGCAGAACAGAAACACGGAACAAGGTACAGAAAGTAAGACTGTGTACAGGGTTAGGGTTAGAAAGAGAGAGAAAAGACCAAGTATGAAATGCAACTTACAAGGTCAAGTAATCCAATCTTTATTCACATTTACCACCTACACAGTCAGCAGCATGTGTTCCGTTTCTGATTTTTTATCTCATTTTATATTGTGCACATAATATAACTGTTACCATATTGCTTTTGTTGCAAGAACAACCACATTTCACTGATAGGAATCAATAAAGTATCATGTTAGCATTTTAATTGAGAGAGAATGGACAGACAGAAAAAGCAGAGCAGAGTCCCTTTTATATACAAAACCCTTTATTATTAATCCGATGGTAATTAATGGTGTCAGTGTCATGTTTGAATATGCACCCTGGTCACAGTGGCAATCTTTTGACAAGGCTACAGCAGTACAAGGTAAAACATGTCATGCAGAGAGACATTAAATTGATTGTCTTGTTCTGCCTTCTAAACATCACATGAATATGATGTGCATGTGCGAGCATGTGAGCAAATGTGGATTAAACAAGAGGCCCAGCTTCTCATTAAACGTTTCTGAGCTGTTGGACTTCAGAAAACAGGCAGCGGAATTTGCTGTAAAATGCATGTGAAAATGTATTAGTAGATTTAATGTGAGAAGAGGTCATTAATTAATGGAAAACTATGTTTTATCAGTGATGCA